AAATCTTGGTTTACTTCATATAATCAAACAATCAAATTTCCTCATCTCTCTATGCGTTTGTAAAGATCCTTCATTGTAAAGCCTATTTTAACATAAAGGAAAATTGGTCTTCACAACTTTTCCCTTACATGTCTTACATTTTTGTCTAAGAACCTAGCTAGCACTTGTGCCTCTGCATTTCAAATACATGTTGGGCATTTTTCTGCTATTTTTAATCTGCTGGGCATTCTGGACATTCCTAGTATTTATAGTTTACTAATTTATTTCCCCATGTAATCTCACCAAAGTGTGGCATGCAGCATAGATTTTGAATTCTGATACCACCCACCTAGAAATTACTCAACAGGTGCAATCCATAATAGTAACTTCATCTTTGGATAAGGTTAATTATAGTGTTGAATAAGCTCCTCAAACCAGTTCTGTTTTTTCAGGATGAGTTTAGTCTCAAGCTTATTAAGGAAAGATAACCATGACTTTGAGACTTAGAATAAACATGAATCACGATCTCTCAATAATTACGCTAATAAATTGGCATAAGGACAAGTTCATATTTCTCTTAAATATGCTTCTTTGGCCCATGTAATTTGAAAGCTCTATTGTTAATTTTTTCATCTATTTTGAGATATCATAATTGAATTTTTCTCTATATTATAAGGTAATGTAGAAAATCCCAAGGAAAAAAGCACATTATTATTCTCTAATATTCTGAAGTTATCTCATTGATGAATTCCTTCAATTTCTATTTAATACATTTTCAGATATTCACATTTCACACAATCATATCCTCTTGCAACATGACACAAAGGAAAATGTACCCCTTCTTTTCCAGCATTGTACCTTCTACACAGACTTCAAATCTCTTCCTTTGCCACTTCCTCTAGGATTTGTTATCATCAATTGTCTCCTCAATCCCCTGGGTCCTCTCCTCTCTACTGCTTCCTCTTTCCCTGCTTACTTCCCCTTTTCCAAAAACTCCCTTCATTCTTCCTTCCTCTCAGAATATACGTATGTATGTATGTATATATGTATACATACATGTATATATATTATATATGTATATATAAATATATATGTGTGTATATATATATATATATATATATATATATATATATATATATATAAAATTGTATAGCATAATTGAAGCGCATCTGCCTTTGGCTCAAGGCATGATCCTGGAGTACCAGGATCAAGTCCACCTGCATCGGGCTCCCAGCATGGAGCCTCCTTCCTCCTCTGCATATATATATACATATATTTTTTTTTCTCTTTGACAGGAAACTCCTAGAAAGACTGTTCAAGACTCAATGGATATGTGCATCTCTATTATTCCTTAACAGATGGTTACCCTATAGAAGATATTTGTTTCAGCACATCAACTAGTTGGCTAAGTAGCATCTGACAACATCTACCACATTCTGCTCATCTTACCTTGCCCTAATCTCACTGGGTTAGTCCAAGTACTCCAGTTTAAGCTATCATAACTACCCTAAGGATCCACACCCCACATCTGTGGATTTATCCCTTTAAAGATGGGCTCACTCTTTCACCATTCTTTCCTTTTTTCTGACTCTACACTGTTGCTAAACATATTTATGGTATTCTCCAATGTGAGAACCTCAAATTTCTTCCCTCCTGACTTTATACAGGCCTTCTGTTGAGATCCCATCCTTTTCCATGACTTCAATCATTACCTATGTACTAGGTATGTTCTAATACCTTACTTGTCACCTTCAGGAACACATGCCTAATTGCCTAAAGTCACTTCCTCCTTGTTGATATTCCAATGGACGTGTCAAACTCTACTTTCAAAATATGAATTTGTCATCTTCCCTCTTCTACCTTTAGCCTGTTTTCTCCCTCTGTAATAATTGTGTCTAACAGTAATTTATCAGGTCAAAATTGTGGGATCATTTTATACTCCCTATATTCTTCACCTCTCACATCCACACATATTCTACAATTTCCAGAAAACACCTAGGGTATCCTTTTAAAAATATTTACAACAGGGACGCCTGGATGGCTCAGCGGTTAAGCGCATCTGCCTTCGGCTCAGGGCGTGATCCTGGAGAACCGGGATCGAGTCCACCCGCATCGGGCTCCCAACATGGAGCCTCCTTCCCCCTCTGCCTATGTCTCCGCTTCTCTGTGTGTGTGTCACTCATGAATAAATAAATAAAATCTTTAAAAAAAGTTTAAAAAATATTTACATCAGATCATGACATAGCCCAGTTTAAAAGTCTTCCAAAGACCCCCTGTCCAACTTAGAATGACAAACAAACTCCTTACTTTGGCCCTATGTGGTTAGGCTTCCATTGTCCCATACAAACGCTGCCCTGTACTCAAACCACAGTGGTCTCCTATCTGTTGCTGAAATACACCAAGCTTATTCCCTTCCCAGTATTTTGTTTCTGCCTATGTGACATTGTTGGTATTATTTATTTCAGTATTTGCTCCTCTGATCCCCAAATGTCCCTCCATCTGGTAGCTCAGGTGCTCAACTGACTCACTATGAATTACCTGATTGTTCTTTCATCAAAATATTTATCAATATATTATAGATTCATACCACAAGAGAACCTATATTCTTAAAAGGCTTAAAACAATCCAATAAAGGATATCAAAGCTGAAATTTAAATAAAGACAATTTGTGATTAGAAACAGTAGCATACCTAGTTTTACCCTACCTTTTGTTATTAAACACAAACAGCAAGCAAAGACAAGAAAAGATCAGATATACAAAAGGATGTAGTCAAAGCATTTCTGTGAGTAAGGATAGCACTCATTGTCTTGGTTGTTAAGCAATGCAGAGACAGGCAACATCCTGTTTGGAATAGATATACTAAATTCTTAAGCCTAGTCATGCTCTCTCATAATTCTCTTTAATTTCTTGTCTCAGTTAAAATCTGGAATTTTAATTCATTAATAATATAGTACCAATGCCAATTTTTAAGAACAGAGGCAAAAATCAGTCAACCCCCTGAAAGCTACATTTTTGTCATATGTATTATTTTGAATCAACACACTGAGGGCATGCCAACTTCCGATTCAAAACTTAACCACATCAGAAAAAAATGAAAATACAAGTTACTCTTTATGAAAAATTCTATGTGATTCTGACTAATACTATTTGGCTGGAAAAAACTACCTTTTTCATAGCATTTATATTTCTTAGGTTTTGGTTTTTATGCATGTGTTTTTTTTTTAAATCAAAAGCAGAAATATCAACATAACATGTATACTAGATGTTACATGAAATTTGGGGGCTAATAAGGAGTAGGAAGTAATAAAAAATTAACAGAGTCTAATACTCATGAGAAGGTTTTCACAGATTTGTAGAATCTTTGGTACAGATGTTTCACATAAATATCTAGGGACTGAATTCCTATCCACAGTTATGAGTTTTGGAGAGGTTCCCCCCCCCCACCCCCGTCATGAAGCATTATCTTGGCTGTTTATTGGATTCTCTATAATCAGAATCAAATTGGAATAACAACAGAGAAGATGTGTTTTAGTATCCAGCACCTCTTTATGTTTGAAATAATGAAAGCAAGACCCAGTGTTGAGTTTGAGAAACGTAATATACGATATTCAGGGACTACAGAGCTCTTTAAGATAAAGCCCTAAAAAATCTTGTAACGGGTGTTAATTTATGAATGTGTCTTACCAAAGCTTATAACATCACTACTAGGTATTTCCATATTAGTTTAGGTAGTAAAGAATGCCCATAATTATACGTCATTATCTTATCCTAATTAGGGTTCATTACACAGATGAAAATGCGGGGACTCAGAGAGGTTACATCTCTTTTACAGTATCACACAGCTATTATTTTAGGAGAGTCTGATGGTATTATAATTATTTTCAGTAAAACTATAATTAATTTCTAAAGAGTCATGCTTATGCCCAGAGTAATTAGATCAGGAATTTCTTTAAAACTGAAGTATTTTACAGAAAATTGTTTTTTATACTGATTTTTTCACAATAGTTATACAGAGTTTATGACACTGTAATAGTTCCTTAAAATGTTTATTAATCACACACACCAGACATGCTAGTTAATCACTCTTTAAGAATACATTCCTTTAATTATTTTGGATTTCAGTTCTCTGACATTAGATAAAGCAAGTAAGCATGTCAAAAGAGTTCATTTTTTTTTTCCACTTCCAGTCTCTGATAATTAAGAACTCATCACAGTCACTTAAAATGCCTATTCCGTGTTAAAAAGAGTTTTGAAGGAAGCCTCATCTTATTGATTGTGGCTATCATTCCTGATTATATCCACAGATATAACTTTAATGAAGGTATTTGTACTTCATGTTGTCCTATAAAATTAAGTTGTGGCTATTTAATCAAGAGATCAGTGAGTTCTTTTTCCTCAGTGGTTTATCAATCTATTTTTCTTTTATTACAAAACCTTAAGCTTTACCAGTTGCTAAAGACAAAAAGAGGGCTTGGAAAGACACAGACCCCTAGATCAATAGCTTTCTGGAAAAGGCTATGAATCATATCTCATGATCAGTCACTGCTCAGAAAACTCCCAGCAGCATGCCTTTGCAGCTATTTCCAAAAGTGCTGAAGAGCCCATGTGTTTACACTGGACTTTGTTAGGAACAAAGAAAACACCATTTATATATTTTTAAGATGTGCATGGCAAGTTCTGTTCTTCAAACCAGTTGCTCAGACATAAAGGCTCCACTTAAGATGGGATTTACTGCCACCAAAACCATTGTTAAATTATTCAGACATCAGGACAACAACACAAAAAGTAAAGATCTGATAACAACTTGGAGACCTATGTTATTCAGGAGTCATACATATTCAACTGTGCTGACGCTATCACTTGTTCATATATTGTTCCCAAAGAAATACATATGACAGCATGTGATCAAATGGTTTCTTAAGCAGGAAGGCATGCAAAAGAAATTTCTAGTCCATTTACAAAAGAAATTTAATCAAAAGTGAAGATAAGCATTATATTTTAGAATAAATATTATTCTTACCATTTGAGATTGACTCCTAGGACATCCATTGATATCTTCAACTTTTTCATTTGCTAAAGCCAAGAAATAAAATAAAAGAGAGAAAAAAAGAATGACATGCTTAAGCAATGAAGTGAAACACACACACACAAAAAAAGGAGACTAAGATAAAACAAAAACAAAAACAAAAACAAAAACAAGCACAATGCTGCTGCTACATTCACTCTGTCTCCCGAGCCGTGTACAAGAGGACACACTTGTTAGCAGCCGCCAATTCCATATGCACAAATCAGGCAAAAAAAAAAAAAAAAAAAAAAAGTGAGTGAGAAGGAAGTTGCTGCTAATTCTTTAGCCTGTGCCAAATGACTGCTGACATGAAACCTTTCACAATTGTCCCTGCTGGATCAGGATACAGTTTCAAGGAATCTCAGAGTGTATGAATTGCTCCAGCTAACGAAATGCACACATGGGAGACATATGGTTTAATGAAGCATTCATTTCTGACAATTCAGTGTATGTAAAGATACAGTTCTAGCCATTTAAAAGTATAGTCAAACTGCTTTTTTTCCAACATTCTCACATAAACATTTTTAATTAAATCGAGGGAGAGCTACATTAATCTCAGAGACACACGGACCAAGTTCATATGCATTCAACTGAAATTGTGTTTTACCAAGGCGGGTGGGGCAGAGACTTTCATGGTTTTTCCCAGGGGGCAGGTCTTACCAATGATCTGGATGATTTCGGCTAGCAGTACTCCATCTGCAATGTCTTGTTGCAAATCCTTGATCAACCGCTTGTGGCCCGATTTTGCTAGGTAGTGGTTGGCCCAGTCAGTGTAAATCTGTTGAACAGAGGGAGAGAAGAAGTACGATGGTGTGAGAGAAAATAGAGACAATAAAAATGCTTAAGACAAATGTTGGATTCAAAGGGAAGCTATTCTGGATCACATTCCAGTTCAAGAAGTCATAGCTTAAAAGGAAATAGTTGTAAAATAATTTTATACGGCTCTCTCTCTCCCACTTATCTCTTGTTTCAAAGGAGGATGATTCACTCTCTTTCAAAACCAGGGACCAGTCACTTGTGACACAGCAGAACTCCCTTCCCGGATGACTACTGAGGAAACTGCTGTTTGCAAATCAGTTGGGTTTTCACTCTTTCCCCTCTTTCTGTCATATTGAAAATAATCCTGTCTGTCCTTGTAAAAGGAAACCACCTGGACTGATTTATACAGGAACCTATTATAAACATTTCTGTTTCTCTGAGACTTTATTAGCTTTGTCATGTGAGATACTGTATGTGACAATATTTTGGCATCATGCTATGAAATAATTGCAAATGCCAAAGACACTTTATTTGGCCTGTCATCTCCCATTTAAGCCTCCTGAAATGTGTTTATATAAGAAAACAGAGGAAGCAAATACAGTTATTACATAGAAATCACAATATAGAATTGAGGAGTGGACAGAAGTCACAAGGTTGGCGATTTGTCCTAAAGCAGAGGTGACTCTTCAATAGTAAACCAGGATATAAAGAAAAGCTGGAATTGTTAAAAAAAAATGCACAAAAATAAAACACTATTAATTTTTCAAATGTTATGAGACACCTACTAAGGTAAAGTAATCTAATTATAAGGAAATAAGCATTAAGATGTTTCAGTTTTATGGGTGGCTCATATGACTATATTAATAGGTTTATTACAAGCCAGAGTATGATATGTGATGTAACAGAAGAACACAATATCTGAAATAATGGCAGAGGAGAGGAATTGATTGAGAAATATACATATAAAAATGTGTATTAAAGCCCTGGAATTAGAATTGGGAACATAGCAGAACCCGGATATAAGAAGTCAAGGGAAGTGGCGCCTGGATGGCTCAGTCGGTTAAGCCTCCACCTCTTGGTTTAGGCTCAGGTTGTGATCTCAGGGTCCTGAGATGGACCCCATGTCCAGCTCCATGCTCAGCAGGGCGTCTGCTTCAAGATTCTCATCCTCTTCCCTTCCCCTCATGTGTGTGCGCACCTGTGTGCTCTCAAATCAATAAATAAATCTTTTTAAAAAGAGAGAAAGAAATGAAGGGAAGGCTCTTCCCCACAGAGGATACCAGGTGCAGAAAGGTAGAGTAAAGGAATCAAAGACACAGTTGGAAAATCTGTAATTAAGGTAGCAAGCTTGAAATTAGGATAATTAGACTGGAAAGGCAAATTGTTTTAGTCATAAGCACTGAATGCCAAGCAAACTACAAAAATATTATTTTTGGTTTCTAATAAAACCAATAAATGTTTCTGTAAGGACAAAACACAATAAATAAGAAGTGTAGAAACTAAGAAGTACATGTTTCCCCACAATTTGCAATCCCTACTCACTTTTGAATACTTTGGTATGAATAATTCTAAAATTGTGTTCTATACCTACACACTTCACCACAGGACACCACATACACACCCTCACATATGTACACACACAATAGGATTTTTAACCAAATACGACTCAAATTTCACATATTCTATGCTTCTCGACTTTTTATGCAATGATATTTTAATAACAGTGCTACAACCATTTTACATATACGTATCCCACTATTTTTGATGTTCTATTGTACATAATATCAACCCCCCATTTAAAGATACTCAATTTGTTTAAATATGTTTCTATTACATCTAAAGTTGAAGAGACATCTTTAAAATGTATCTTTGCACGCTTATATGCCAGTATTTTTATAGGACCAAAACCTAAAAGTGGGACTGCTAAGTTTTTTTAAATAGATCCTAGATACAAACATTCCAAAATACAACAAAGAAGTCAAAGAAAGTGCTTCTTCAGTTTAGACAATATAAAGTGGCATCTTAATGCAATGAAGTGGTGATTAAGTTCCTAAAAGACTACAAATAATTGGAAGCATCCAACTGCATAAGGAATTATACCTCCTTTCCCCGTGTTCATGATTTTCCTTATATTAAAGATATTAGTGTGAGAAAGGGTACTAGCACAACTGTCTGCTAAATTAGAAAACAAAAACAGGGTTCCTAGATATTCTTATTTTGGGATCAGTTTCCTCAAAATTCTATTCTATCTGTATTTTCTATTTTGCAATGCGAAAACATATTTTTATAAGGATTTATACTGCTCAGAACCTAAACCATTGAGGACTTTCCCCTCAGCCACACATCATTCAAATGATTAGTTGTTTGGCTATTAATTGTTTGGCCTCCTACTAGAAATTTTAGGTTGAGCCAGACTCGATTTGTGCCTTTATCCCCACAGGCAGTTAAGAGGACCAGCTGATTGACTCTAAAGCATCCCACAAAGATGAAGAACATAAATTCTGGAGTCAGGAGACCTGGCTTTGAGGCCCAGTAGACCTCTTACCACCCCTGGGACCATGGAGAAGTTTCTTATCCCTTCTTAAAAAAAAAAAAAAAAAAGATTTTATTTATTTAGAGAGGCAGAGACACAGGCAGAGGGAAGAAGCAGGCTCCATGCAGGGAGCCCAACGTGGGACTCATTCCCCGGTCTCCAGGATCAGGCCCTGGCCTGAAGGCGGCACTAAACCGCTGAGCCACCCCTTCTAATCCCTTCGAAGTTCGATTTCCCCATCAGCAAAATAAGGATGATAATAATCCTTCACTGTAGGACTATTAGGACTAAGTAAGATAGTACTTGGAAAGTACACCTCACGGAGTTAGCCCTGAAATAGTGTCTGCTCTTGTTATCATCATTATGGCATCTAGTTTTATTTGCTACGGTGGCTTTCCAACAAATAATTTATTAAGGTCATCATTTTGTAGAGATTAAAAAAATTGAGAGGATTGGCAGAAAACTGAAAAAACTGGACTCCTTGCCTCTGACACTGCTCATGTAGGGACTCCTCCTGCCTTCTGACTCACTGTGGCCACAGATCCGTCCCCCAGCCAAACTCAGAGCCATGCACCCCATCTCAAGGTTGCCATGTTCTCCTTCAGGTCTGCAATGCCTCCACGGGGACTCTACCTCCATCAGGCTCTATGTTGCAAGTATTCTGTTTTCCAAAGGCATTAAATTATGCAAAAAATACTTATTCAAATGCACACAGAACGGAATATATTAGGAATGAAAACAAGAATCCCTTCATTCTCCAAATGCCTGTCAAGAATGTCTTAGCCTCTATCCAAATTGGTCCTGGAACTTAGGTGAGAAAACAGATGGGAGGCCAGCTGGTTGGCTTCAAGACTGACTGGAAAAGCCTCTGATTTAGCTCATAAAATATTTGTTTTTTACTTGATCCAGGATTTCTTCTAGAGGAATCCCAAGCCTAAGTGCTTTGACTTGTCTTGGATCTTTAATATATGAAACATTGCTCAGACCGTAATCTCTGACTTTAGTTGCAATCAGCAAAACCAATTCAGACTATAGAAATAAACTGAAAATAAATCTCCGTTTAAAAAAGTCCTTATACTTTACTTATTCTTTCTTTTTTTTTAAGAAGATTTTATTTATTTATTCATGAGACACACACACACACATACAGAGGCAGAGACACAGGCAGAGGGAGAAGGAGGCTCCCTGCAGGGAGTCAATTCCAGGTCTCCAGGATCAAGCCCTGGGCTGAAGGAAGGTACTAAACCGCTGAGCCACCTGGGCTGCCCCTTATTCTTTCTTAATACGTGTACTTGAGGCCCTTCAAGCAAACCAATACCTTTCAAAAGGATGTTATAATCTAATATTTTATTTTATTTTTTTAATTTTTATTTATTTATTTATGATAGTCACAGAGAGAGAAAGAGAGAGAGGCAGAGAGACACAGGCAGAGGGAGAAGCAGGCTCCATGCACCGGGAGCCTGATGTGGGATTCGATTCCGGGTCTCCAGGATTGTGCCCTGGGCCAAAGGCAGGCGTCAAACTGCTGCGCCACCCAGGGATCCCAGGATGTTATAATCTAGATGAAATATGAAACAACTACAAAGTGGCTTATAAATATATCTTAACATTATATTTAAACTTATTTTTGTCTTTTAAAACTTTATATATGTAAATTGAAGAAAAAAGTAGAAACATGAGGTATATCTTTAATGAGACAGTCTCCAAGCAAAGGACACATGATATATAAATATATGCAAAACTGATCAATAAACTTACTGTACTATTCTGATAAGAGAAGATACACACAACCTTGTCAACTGTCACATTAGAAACTATTGTTCAAATAAATACAACAGAATGTCAAAATCATGTCCAGATTTTAGATCTGAACTCCAAAGCTGCCTTTGGTTCATTGCCACACACACAAAAATCACAATATTCAACCTCCTTAGCCTCACTAGAATGAGCTACAAACTGAGTGCTAATGATTTCCGTAGGATTATGTTATAAATAGGTTTCTAGTGAACAAACTGATATTACTGGGCACAATATCAAGTTAATCATAAATTAATGTTTAGTCATCAAGGTCTGGCTGAAGCTTTAAATATAATTTATCTCCAAATATCTGAAGTCAGTTTTCCTCATCTGTTTTAATTGCAATATTATAAATACAAATGTCATCTCATGTGGTAATTATATTTTAGGAAATCCTGAAAAATTAAGGATATTAGACTTACCAAAGGATACTTAGAGTTCAGGTAAAATCATATATATATTAAATCACTTACTGTAATTAAATATGATAAAAATCAAAGGTACCATAGCATAATTTATATTTAATTTTGATCAATATAAATTTTAGGGCCTATTATGCAATAGTATGCCTTCTTTGAGGAACATCCTATATTGTTGGAATTTCTGCTTTGCCACTTAATATCCATGTGGACATTAACTGAACAGAAATTTTCTCTTAGTGCCGGAGCTTTTCTTGTCTGTAAAATCAC